ATTGAGTACCAGTCGTTTGAGTCTCTGGCCATCTGAGTCTGGCCGTTTGAGTCTCTGGTAAGCAGGGTCCATGGCCGTTTGAGTCTCTGGTAAGTAGGGTCCATGGCCAGTTGAGTCCATGACCAGTTGAGTCCATGGCCAGTTGAGTCTCTAGCCGGTTAAGTCCCTGGTCAGTTGAGTCCCGGCCGTTTGAGTGGTTGATTACCGCCGGTTGAGTCTTGGGCCGGTTGAGACTCAACTGGTCATGGACTCAACTGGTCATGGACTCAACTGGCCATGGACCCTACTTACCAGAGACTCAAACGGCCATGGACCCTGCTTACCAGAGACTTAAACGGCCGGAGACTCAAACGGCCAGACTCAGATGGCCAGAGACTCAAACGGCCATGGACCCTGCTTACCAGAGACTCAAACGGCCGGAGACTCAAACGGCCAGACTCAGATGGCCAGAGACTCAAACGACTGGTACTCAATAGTCTCGTTCTAAAGGATTAGATGAGTTAACCCTTTTTGGCCGTGTAGATGAGTTAACGAATAGATGAGTTAACGATTAGATGAGTTGACCCTTTTTGGACGTGTAGATGAGTTAAGGAATTTTAGCCGTTTAGATGAGTTGAACGTTTTTGGCCGTGTAGATGAGTTAACGAATAGATGAGTTAACCGGACACGTTAAGGAATGTTCGCAAAAATGTAATAGAGTAGAAGCAGCACAAAAATGCTTTTAAAAGCAAATTTTTCAGACCACACAAAACATTTGTCTAATTAATCGCAAAATTGGTTTAAACAAAAACAATGTTTATTTAATATTCTGATTTTTAAAAACATCGGAAAATGTTTTGTTAGAAAATGTTTGTTGTTATAAAAATCAGAATAAAATGTTTTTAATAAATCAGAATATAATTAAAACATGTTTGTTTGTTTAAAACATGTTTTAGTGAATATTCTGATTTATTAAAAACATTTATTCTGATTTTTACAAACATTTTTATTAAAACATGTTTTTTTATTTTAACAAACAAACATGTTTTATTAAATGTTTTTATTAAATCAGAATAATGTTTTTAATAAATCAGAATATTCTACAAACATGTTTTTGTAATAAACATGTTTTTACTCTTTTATTAAATGTTTTGATAAATCAGAAAAACATTTTAATTGTTTTAATAATTTCAGAAAAACATGTTTTGTTGTTGTTTTACTATTTAAACCGTGTTTGTTTGAACTAAACTTAAAGTTTGCGATTAAATGGCTTTCATTTAAAAATTGGGGGGGAATTTCCTAATTTTTACTTGCTTCTTAAAATTGCTTAAAAAAGAACAAATGCTGAGTCAGGCGTTGAAAATTTTTTTTATTTATTTTTTAATTGATTTTAATTAAAAAAAATTTTTTTCAGAAGTTTCTTCTTAAAAATCGATAAATTCTTTAATTTTATTTTTTGCTTCTGAAAAAAATATTTTCAAATATGGATACAAATGGTGTAACATACAAATGTATCGACAATACTATGGAACAAGAAAAAACAACGACAACAACAGCTTCTACCCAACAAACTCAACAGCAACAACCACACAAAGTTATTGTTACTGATGATTCTGTTGAAGAAGAGAAAAAGGTTTTTTTGTATAAATTAAATGAAAATTAGGTTTAGGGGGTTGTTTTTGGGGTTTTCTGAAATGATTTGTCGGAGTTGATTTTTTGAGTTGTTTGGTGCTGACTTTGGGTTGATTTAGGAAAGGGATTTTAATACTCTAATTCACAAAAAACAAATTTTCAATGATTTTTTTGGGCGTTTCAGACACTCATTGAAAATTAAAAAAATTCCCTGGAAATTCTCGCAACCCAAGAATAGGAATTTCGTTAAAGGATCCTTCCATGGGTCGACCGGTTCAAAACCTTCAACTTTTGTTTTTTAAAGTTTTAAAACTTATAAAAAATTAAGGATGACGAAATTATTGAAGAAAAGCAGCAGCAACAAGTTGTTGATAATATTGTTTCCGTTGAAGGAGGGGAAGTATGTGGAGATAATGTTGTTAATAATGAAGAAGGTGACGGGGAGAATAATTTGGAAGAAAGGCAAAATTTAAACAACAACAATACTTCTTCAACTACTCAAATACCCATAATTTCATCACCGCCACAATTAAATATCAATAATTTATCTCTTTCAACAACTTCAAAATTAAGACAAGAACATCGACTCAAAACTCGTTGGACTTTTTGGTTTTTAAATTCTGATAGGGAATTGACGTGGTTGGAAAGATTGAAGAAAGTTTGTACAATTGAATCTGCGGAAGCGTTTTGGGCGTTAGTTTATTTTTAATTTTTTTAACGGGGGTTTAAATTAGTGATCGAACTGGAGGTAAGGCCTGGGTTTTTCCTGTAACCAGGGTCCAGGCTTAGGCATTTTTTGACCTTCCTGGGTTTTTCTGTGTCTGGGTTTAAGATCGAGCTGGGTCTGGATCGAGATAAGATCGAGCTGGACCTTGACCAAAGCCTGGGTTTTCCTGTACCCAAAATCCAGGCCCAGGCATTTTTTTGACCTTCCTGGGTTTTTCTGTGTCTGGGTTTTTTCTGGACTAGAGGCCCAAGCTTTTCAAAAATCTCGATCACTAGGTTAAACTATATAGCAGTTGCTATAGTTTAAGAACTTAACTCTCTTGGTACTAGAGTTGTCGGATTGTTGGAAATCATTAGATATCCAAACGACAATTTCTCAACTCAAAGCGAACTTTTAGACTTAAATTTCTTTTTTCCAGACTTTATGACAACATTCGACCACCTTCTGCTATGCAGTCTGGTTGTGACTATAATTTTTTCAAGGAAGGTATTCAACCTGTTTGGGAAGTTCCAGAGAATAAAGATGGGGGAAGATTGATTGTACAGGTTGTTTTTTTTTATTTTAAAACATTCCATGTTTCTGACAATAAGATTTGTTTTCTTGTATTATTTGTTAGGATTATTTAGGTGCCAAATCGAGATAAGGATTGGTGAATCATGATCACTAGCTGTGGGCACAGCCCAAGTAATCACGCGGCCATACGGCGCAAATTCATAACTTGTTTTAAGATTTCAGAATCTTACCAAATTTAGTATTGAACGATTGATAAGGGCCAGAAAAGTTCCAGAAAGAATGGGGGGTGGGGAGGCGTACTTGGACGTGTCTCCTAGTCTGGGACCAGATTCATTTGTTGTTAGGTGTTAGACTATAAGAAGCCTTCAAGCTTGGGTTTGAATCAGAAATGGGCCGGCTTATCGCAAATCCGGTCAGTTCGATCCGAAACACGACGATAATTTTGAAATCCCGACCTTATTTTTTTTACTTAACCCTGAGGCCGTCCAATGTGTATTTTGAGACAAACTCATGCCCAGCTCGATTAATTTTTATATTTTGTTTTTTTTTCAAGATTGATAATAAAAATAAAATTGAACATTTGGATGCTTTATGGTTAGAATTATTAGTTGCTTTAATTGGTGAGCAATTTGGACGTGATTCTGAATATGTTTGTGGGGCTGTTTGTAATATGCGTGGTAAAGGCCATAAGGTTTTTTGAGACTTTTTTGGACTATAAAAAATTTTTTCTCTTTAGATTTGTCTTTGGACAAAGAATGCTGAAGCTGAGGAGGCTAATAGACGGATTGGGTATTTTTTATTGATTAAATGATAGTTTGGTTTAGTGGAAAAATGCTTGGTTTTTGCTTTTAGGAGGGTCCAAGGTTCGAACCCCGCTAATGGAAATAATTTTGTTTTTGATGTAATTTTGAATTTTTAATTTAATTTGGGTTAGTTTTTTGTTGTAGAATATTGAAATTATTTTTTAAATGTGACATTTGATCCCAGAAATGGATTTTTTTGTTTTTTTTATCCTTTAAAAAATTTTTTCTATTTTTTAGAGCAATTTTGAAGAGCCGATTCCAAGATACTACTAATTGCAGTATTAGGGTTAATTATGAAGGTTTTTTTAAATTAAAAAAATTTTTTAAATTGAAAAAAAATTTTAGAACACAATGTTTCGCAGCACAAATCGTCTAGTGCCACTCAAGTTCGTTTTGTTCTTTAACAAGTTTATTTTATTTTAAAGAGAGATATATTTATTTTAATTATATGCTTCTTTGTTTTTTTTTTGCTCACCCGTTAATTCTACAAACATTCTCTCTATATTATATTTTTCGTTTTGTTGAGGTAAAGAAAAAATGTGTGGGGTTTTTAGACGTTGTGACGAAATGGCTGATTTTCTCCTTTGGGACGAAACATGGTTAAACATTAAATGAACATGTTTTTCCGGAAGGTCATGTTTTAATAAACAAAACATGTTTTTAATATAAACATGTTTTCCGGAAAGTTTATACAATATTATTTATTATACTTTCCGGAAATGTATTCATTATATTTTCCGGAAATATATCCATCATGTTTTCCGTAATGTTTTTAATAAAATAAACATGTTTAGAAAAATCAAAACATGTTTTTAATAAAAACAAATAAAAACATGTTTTAAAATTAAACAAAACATGTTTTTAGTAAAATAAACATGTTTTTAATAGTAAAAACATGTTTTCCGGAATGTTTTAATCATTCAAAACATGTTTTTCGGAGAATTTCATATGTTTATTATACTTTCCGGAAAGCTTTTTTCAATAAAACAAAACTGTTTTTAATAACAACATGTTTTCCGGAATGTTTTAATCATGTTTTTCTTTACCTCTCTAAAATACCGCCACATACACAAAAAATATTATTACTAAATTTGTTGTTTTGTTGTTGTTTTTCTCTCTATATAATATTTTATTGTTTTATCTCTCTCTATCCCTCAAAAACATAAAAAAACGTACTATATATTTTATATAATTGTTCAAATTGTTGGAAACGCTTCAAAATTTTATTTTTTTTTTGGTAAAAATGGAAATTGATGAATAATGCTGAAAAGAAGTTTCCCTACACAAATAATAATAGATCAACATTTTAAAAAAACATGGGTAGTTGTTTTTAGGAAAGAAGAAAAATGTTTTTGTTTGGTATTTTATTTGTTGTTATGAATGCAGGAATATTTGTTTGGTTGAACAATGTTTTGGGAAAATACACGTTTTTTCCGGAATGTTTTTGTATTTTAATATATTCCGGAAAACAAGTTTTAAGTATATTTCTGATGTTTTTTGTTTTCCGGAATAAATATATTTTTGTATTTTCTTTAAAACATGTTTGTTTTGAAGTTGTTCTGAAAACTTTAAAAGCAACTTGTTTTGCAAACTTAAGAACTTAAGTTTTTAAGTTTGCAAACTTGTATTTATTTTCAAGTTTAATTTCTTCCGGAAACTTAAGTTTACAGAATGTCTCCAATAAAAAATATTCCTGTATATATCCTATTATATTATATTGTCTCTACACGTTGCCTTATAAAATATATTTGAAAAATGAGAAAAAAATTTTTTTAAAAATTTTTTTGAAATTTTTTTTTCAAAAATTTTTCGAAAATTTTTTTTCAAAAAAAAATTCATTTTTTCTTTTATTATTATTTTTTTGTTTGCGCGTTGTTATTCAATTATTTAAAATTGGAAAATGTTGATTATAAATAAATATATTGCTTCAAAAAAAATTTTTTTTCTTTCTAAATTTATTTTTGATTAAAATCATTCAATTATTTTTATTAAATTTTAAATAATTTTTTTAGAAAATTTTTATATTGTATTGTGTGGCTATTTATTTTTGTTCGTCATCTTGTTCTTCTACGCTCTCCTTAAATTTTTAAAGTTAAAATATTTGAAGGTTTTTTTGATTAATTTGAAAATTTTTATTAATTTTTTTTTTTAATTTAGTTGAACAATTTTGGAATTTATTTGGGAGGTTTTTTGAAATTGTTTTTGGAGTAAATACAAGGTTACTATTTTTTGATATTTTTTTTGGGTTAAGATTAGATTGGATACTCCACGGAATTAATTTTGAAAGAGAAAATGCAAGAAACGGGTTTATTGTTTAGTCCTTAAAAAATTTTTTAGAAAGATTTTTGAGTTCCCCGAAAAATTTTATAAGTCCGTAACGAAGTAGAAGGAGGGTGATTCCAAAATTCTCAAAAATTTTTGTCTGCGGCACAAAAAAGTGAATTTTCCTCCTGAAAAATCTTTGTTACCGGCCTGTAGAGCCTCTAAATTTATTTTTTTCTTATAGAAATTTTTTTGGGGAACTCAAAAATCTTTTTAAAAAAATTTTTTTAAACAAACCTGAATAATTTCTACATCAGTTTGAATTTTAATAGGGCCTCCCTTTTCTTTTTTTAACCTATCAATTTTTGCAACTCTTTGTTGTTGTTTTTGTAAATCCTCAGGTTTCTTCTCTTTTTCAAATAAATTAATTTTTGGAATATCCAAAGGAAATTCAGAAAATTTAATTAAAGTTTGTTTTGACAAATTATAACCAAATTTTTTTGTATTTCTAAATATTGAAGAAAGGGATAGGTTTACAAAACCTTGGGTAGATACTCTTGTTACTGAAAAAAAAAGAAAATTTTTTGGAATTTTTTTAGTTAATTTTTTAAGAAGGAAGCCCAACAAAAATTAAAAAAAAATTTTTTTAAGAATTTCTGAATAGAGCGATATTTGCGAACACTCGCTTAAAAATTTATTTTATAGCTTAAATAAACTTTTTGGACATTAAATTAATTTTTTATAAGCTTAGGATATTCCAATAAAACTTTAAAAATTTTTTTGGGAACTCAATTCAATAATTTTCAATTATTTTCCGCAAAAATTTTTTTTAATTTTTTTAATTAAAAAAAAATTATTTTTAATTTATTTTTTATTTTTCAGTCTATCAATCAAAAAAGAAGAAAAAAAAATTTTTCAACTCGCCTTCTCTTCCTTCACTTTTGGCAATAATTGTAGGATCAATAAATTCAGCTCTACGTCCAGTCAATAAACCAATTATTTTTTGAATATTTGTGGTTGCTTGGGGTAAGAAAATTGGACATTTTCTTTTTATACTTTTTATTTAAAAATTAAATTTAAAAAAAATTTTAAGTACTTCCCAGGTGTAGTAGGTAAATGTGTAGATGTATACCCCCTTATTACATCGTTCCCAAAGGGGTCTTGACCATAAAAACTTAAAACAAGTTGGGGCCCTTAAAATAAAAATGTTTGTTGTTTTGTTGGGAAAAGTTTGTTTTTGAGAAGTTTTAAATGTTTTTATTAAAGTTGGAATGTTTGTGTTTGTTTTGTGTTTTTATTAAAATTGAGAGAAATGTTCTGTTTATTTGTTTTTGTTTAAGCTTGTTGTGTTTAATTATATGTTTGGATGTTTTGTTTGTTGAGATGTTTTTCCGGAAAGTCTTTTTAATAAAATAAACATGTTTTCCGGAAAAGCTTGTTTTTCCTTTAAATGTTTCTCTAAAAACATGTTTTTCTCAATTCAATTTGATATTTTTTTGCAACTTGTTTTAATGTTTTTCCGGAACAAATTTGTTTCTCAAGAATTTATAAATGTTTTGTTTAAGGTTTGTAAATGTTTTTCCGGAAAATGTTTGTTTTTACATTTAAATGGATTTGTTGAGGAGAATGTTGCTTCTATTGGGGTGTTGAGCACAATTTGATTGTTGAAACTTCTTTCTGTTTTGTATGCTGTTGCACTGATACCTTGAAATACAACAGTCATAAAATTAATTCAACAGAAAAACCTTCCTCCATTCCTCCAACTTGTTTCCAATCTGGTCCGTATACAAAACAATATTTACAATAAACATTGGGTATTGAAAGGAACTTGAAAATTAAATAAACTTGTTTTCCGGAAAGTTTTAATTGTTTATAAGTTTTTCTATGGGATGTTTTAATGTTTTCCGGAAAAGGTGTAGTTGGGTGTTTTAAAAAAGTTAATGTTTGTTTTAGAATGTTTTCCGGAATGTTTTGATATTTTTTAATGTTTTCCGGAAAGTTTGTAGGTCTTTGTTTTTATTATAGAAAAACATTTTTGTTTGTTTTTCTGGAATGTTTGTAGACTGTTTTCCGGAAAAGTTGTAATTGGTTTTACTAAAGTTTGTTTTTAATTTTTTTCTCTGCAAACCTCAACAGTTTCAATCTGTCCAGTAATCAACAACAAAAAACAATTTTTGTCTTCATTTTCTAAATGTGAAACTTGTTGCTGTGGTTGTCTGATTGCTGCACTGCTTGTACTTGGTCCAGCTTCATCAAATATTTGTTGACTCATACAAATAAAATTTTAATTTTTCGTTTTATTTTAATTAAAAAATTTTTTGTATGGTCAAAAAGCAACGTTTTTTAGTTACCATGACAACAAAATTATTTTTTGCATATTATGCTGAATTTGAGCGTTATGTTTAATGTCCATTTGTTTCCGGAATCTTTTAATGTTTATTTTATATTCTGGTTTGTAAATGTCTATGTTTGTTTTAAATTCTGATTTTTTAAATGTTTTTATTGTAAATTGTGTTTTGTTGAAAAGTTGTGTTTTTATTCCCTTGTTTTAATTTTTAAAAACATGTTCATTTCATATTCTGATTTTTAATTTCCAAGTTTATTTCAAAACAAACTTGAGTAAAATACAAAACAGAATTTTATATAAACTTGAAAATTAAAAATCAGAATATAAAATGAACATATTCTGATTTTTAATTCCAGGGTTTTTACTTTATTCAAGCATGTTCATTTTAAATTCTGATTTTTATATTTTATTCAAGTTTTATTCTGTTTTCTTTTTTCAGGAAAACAAACATGTTTGTTCGAATTAACCGTGTTGCAAGTTTTTTTTCTTCTCTACTCAACAACACTCATTCCCAACATTGTTGTTCTGGTCATCCAAACATTTTAATTCAACCAAACATTTGTTCAATTCAACAAAAAGCTAATTTAACTTCCAAATGGTTCTTAAAACTTCATTGTCGTTATTGTTTCTTTACTCGAAGAAATGGGCGTTGGATGGTTGATTGTACTCGTTTTTCGGCCCACAAAAGTATTCAAAGAGGATTCAATCCAAAACTTTATTGGTAGAAAAAAATTTGGAGGAAGACGGAGAATGAAGAAATAATTAAAAATTTTTGGACACAAGTTAGTTTGGAAAAAAATTTTTTTTTTGTTTTTTTTTGTTTAATTTAAAGAGAAAAAATATTTTTTTTCGATTAAAAATTTTAATTTTTTTTTTTAAATTAAAATTGGATTTTTAATCCATTTCTTCAAATATTTAATTAATTTATTTAATTTTTTCTATTGCACCAACGTCCTCCTTAAACTGTCTAAATGTCAGCATGTTTTGTCTGCAAATATATTCTTTTCAGGTTTTTTTTTAATTTTTAAAACGAATAAATAAATATTTTTATTTTATATTTTAGTCCGTTTTCTGCCTTTTATTTTGGACATAAATTGTTTCTAAATTGAGAATTAATTTGTTAGTGCGGTTGCTTCAACTCTTCTACCCTCCAAAATTGGCTTAATTCTGGTTAGAATTTTTAGGTTTTTTTTAAATTTTTTTGAGATTGTTAATGTGAATGTAAGTGAGTGTAGGTGTGAATTTCCTTTAAAATTTTTGAGAAAATTTTTTTAAACTCAACTTCTCAAGCAATCAACTTACATATTCTCTCTTTGTCTATGCATAAAATCGCTAAATTTCAAATTCAAATCACGTATTTTTTAATTTATTTTGACTACTAATATTTTTTATAATAAGAGATCGAATGAGGATTTTCTATAATAATCCAAAAAATTTTTTTTTTCTTTCAATTTTCCTTTCTATTTTTGATTATCTAAGTAAAAGCAAAATATGTTTGATGCATATTATAAAGTTTTTCAATTGGATTTTGTTTTTGTTGTTGTAAATTTTCTTCTTTATTTTTGTCTTGATTATCTTCTTTTTGAATATATAAAGAGGGGGGATTTTCATTTAAATTTTTTTCAATAACAATTTCTTTTTCTTCCCATTCCTCCTCTTCGTCATCTAAACAGCTATCTACATCGAATTCGTCAGAATCTTCTTTGAGAAAATTTTTTTTTTTAATTTTTAGATTTTTTAATTATTTCAATCTTCTTATATTTTTTGAAAAAAAATTTTTTTTAATTTTCCAAAAAATTTTTTTTTAATTTTTTCCTCTTACCTTCCCCCATAATTATTTCTTCTTCAGCACCAGACCTGGGCGAAACTCAAAATTTTTTTCTGACGAAACGAAACGAAACAAAATTTTTTAAAAATCGTTTCGTTAACGAAACGAAACGAAACAACCAAAATCTTACGAAACGAAACGAAACAAAACGAAACATTTTAATATTCAAAAAATTTTCAAAACTGCATTTATTTCGAAATTATTCGACCTCAAATACGTTATTAGTCGACTATGACTTATAAATGATTTAGTTATTGGTTTATTTACAACAATTGTGTCCCATAAGCCAGGCCCGTAGCAAGGAAAATTTTCGGGGAAGGGGGGGGGGGGGTCAATCATTTTCGAAGCCAAATTTTTGGCGACGCTTTTTTTTAAATAAAATTGAATATTTTTCAAGTAAAATTTTATTTTAAGCGCCGCAGACGAAAAATTTTAAAATTTTGAAAGGCCGTAGGCCAAAAAATTCACCATCTTGCTCCATTGCCTACCCAAATTGTCTCCATATCTCCATTTCGAGAGGAAGGCGATATAAGCTAGTGCTTCGCCGGAAGTTCCGGTTCCAGTATTTCCGCAACTCGCAATCCGCAATTTTTAAATTATGATGCGAGTCCGGTAATAGAATTTGTCGTCGATTAAGTAATATGTATATGTGGATTAGGGAGTGGAGTATAAACGGATTTGTAGTATATAAGTAATTGCTATCTTCCTTTTTCAGCGCCGCAGGCGAAAATTTTGACAATTTGGGAAAGCCAAGAAGCCGAAATTCTTTTTTTTTCAGCGCCGCAGGCGAAAATTTTTTAAATTTTCAATAAAAGATGGTAAATTTTATAGATTTTGGCCTTAGTTTAGGCTTAAAAAATTGTTTCGTTTCGTTGAAAAATCACAGGTGTTTCGTAACGAAACGAAACGAAACAAATTTAAAAGTGTTTCGTAACGAAACGAGACGAAACAGTAAAAATCATACGAAACATACGAAACAACGAAACGAAACGAAACGTTTCGCCCACGTCTGTTCAGCACTAGAACCACTCTGTTTCCCTCCATTATTATTTTCAAAAATATTTTGTTGTTTGTCTAATTCGCGTTTGGTACTTTCCTTCTTTATTTTTGCTCTAAATTTTTTTTCAATTAAAAAAATTTTTCAAAAGGAAAACCTCTGGTTTTGAAACCATACTTGCACAACACGAACACTTAGGCCTGTTTCACGTGCTAATTGTTCCCTTACCTTTTAATAAATAAAATGTTTATTTTAAATTCTGATTGTATTAAAAATGTTTATTTTAAATTCTGATTTATGTATATTTAATGGTTAGTTAAATCAGAATTTAAGATAAACATGTTCATTTTATGTTCTGGTTTGTTAGTTTTTATGTTCATTTTAAATTCTGATTTGTTTAAGTTGTGTTTATGTTTTAATTTGATTTTTTAAAACATGTTCATTCTAAATTCTGATTTTTCTAAGTTTATTTAACATTCTGATTTTATTCGTTTTTTATTTCTCCTTACTTTTCTTGTTGGTTTCTGTCCTTTCTCAAAAGCATATTTAAAAGCTTTCCTCTGTGGTGCATTCAGAATTGTTCTGGGTCTTTTTGGTATCTTTTTTGATCTGTCACGATGTCGACGATGAGGTCGATTATTATAGTTTTGTCTTTGTAGATTAAATTCTAGTTCTGGAAATGGTGGAATAGGTAGGAAATTTGTTTGTTGTTGTGCTTTAAAGTTTAAAAATGTTTTTCCGGAATATGTTTTGTGTTTTTTAAAAATGTATTTGTTTGTATTTGTTTTCCGGAAAGTAAAGTTTTGTGTTTTTCCGGAAGATTTTGTATTTTTCTTTAATGTTTTTCCGGAAAGAAACACAATTTTCTATAAATGTTTTTAATAGTTTCCGGAAACTTAAAATGTTTTTCCGGGATGTTTTTAATATTCTGGTTTTACTTCATATTCATTTTAAATTCTGATTTTTTAAAACATGTTTGTTTCAAATTCTGATTTTTACTATTCAAAACAAAAACACATAAAAACATTAAATTACCCAAATGTTGTTGTTGTTGTTGTTGTTGTTGCAATCTCCATAAATTAACTTCCCGTTGACAAATTAATTGTCCCCCAACATTTATATATTGTTCCCCTAATGTTAATTGTTGTCCACAACAAAAACATGTAAAACAATTTAGATGGTAAACAAAAATGCCTGCACTTCTGTATACAAGTTCTGTAGGTGTTATAGATTGGCCACAACGAGTACATGTTGCCTGGGCATTGGGGCCAAAAAGCCTGGAAAAATTGGATAGAAATTAATTTTTGTTTTTGTTGTGGGTTTCTGGGTGTGTTTTTATGTTTGTTTTATATGTTTTTCCGTTTTTACTGTATGCGTTTTTCCAATGTTTGTTGTAATGTTTTTGTGTTTATTCTGTTTTTGTTTTTACCGTGTTTCTGTTTTTGTTTTAATTTAATTCTGATTTTTATTGCTTCGTTCTGTTCCGGTTTTTCTATTTTTCTTTTGTTTTATGTTTTTATTTTTGTGTTTTTGTTGTGATTTAATTCTGGTTTTTGTGTTTTTTTTTTATTTTACTTAATGTTGTCATAAATCTCCAATAAAAACCAGAATTAAATTACAACAAACATTTATAAAATTTTTATATGTTTTTCTTCTCATTTTTCTAATTTTTTATATCCACTTCTCGTAATTTAATGACTTTAAAATATATTATATACTCCAAAATTAAATAAAAAACACGGCAAGAAGCCTTTAAATTAATTTATTGTCTCTTCTTTGATTCTCATTTTCCGCTAATACTCATTATATTATTTTTTATTATCCTTTATTATCCTTGTATATTTAAGAAGCCTTTTTTTCTCTATATTTTTAATTGCAAAATTATTATAGTTATTAAAAATACATGCGTTTTTAATAATAGCATGTTTTAAAAATACATGTTTGTTTGTTTAATGTTTTGTTTGATTTTTCATTTCCGAAATGTTTTGTTTTGTGTTTTTGTATGTTTTTCACAACATTGTTTTCCTTTGAAAAATGTTTTCCGGAAAGTTTGTGGGTGTTTTAATATTCTATGTTTTTCATTACTTTTTTTGTTTGTTGTGTGTTTTCCGGAAAGTTTGTTGTTTTTATAAATGTTTTTATAAAAGGAATGTTTTCCGGAATGTTTTATATTTTGTGTTTTTCGTGTTTTTCCTTTGCTGCTAGTATGTTTTCCGGAAAATTTAATTAATTTATATTCCCTATTGATTGTGTTTTTGTGTTTTTATTTTTTTTCTGTCACTCATTTGCTTAAACCCAATAAAAACCTCTTGTGTCAAAAATATGTTTTTAAAGTGTCAAAAAATCTTCTCTTGAGTTAAAATTAAGAGAAGAGGATATATAAAATTAAATGCGGGTTAATCCGCCAAAAATACAAAAATAAATATTTTATTTTTAGAATTATCTGGCTTTCTTTTTTTTATTTCAGACTTTATAAAATATTTTAAATTTTCAAAAGTAAAACTTTCAAGAGTTTCAAAGCACGCATATTCTTAAAAGCTTTAATATTTCTATTATAAGTTTGTTGGAGTGTTTTATAATGTTTGAGTAGAAGTACTATAGAGAGAGAAAATGTTTTCCGTAAAGTTTTGTCAATGTTTATATAGAATGAACATTTGTTAAATGTTTTGTTTTTATGAATGTTTTCCGTTTATTTTTAATGTTTTGTTTTCCCATGTTTTTTTTGTTTTCTTGTTGTTTTGTGTTTTTAAAACAAGTAGATGTTTTCCGGTATGTTTTGTTGTTGTTATAATTTATGTTTTCCAGGTATGTTTTAATGTTTTGTGTTTTTTCCGGATATGTTTTAATGTTCTGTGTTTTAATGTTTTGTGTTTTTATGTTTTGTGTTTTTAGGTTTTGCGTTTTTCCGGGCATGTTTTAATGTTTTGTTTTTAAAATGTGTTTTTCCGGAATGATTTTAATGAATTTCTTTTGTTTTTAATTTGCGTTTTCCGGAATGTTTTTGTTGTGTTTTCCTGAGAATGTTTTTAAAACTTACATAGAATAATCTTCAGTGCAGAATATTCTACCGTCATGAACAAAACATTTATTATCGTTCCCAACATTTTTATTGCATTTTACACATGTTAAACAATTTTCATGCCAATAACTTTTCTCTAAATTCTCTAAATTTTTGCTCAAACAAAGTAAATGCCTGAAAATTATTTTTTTGGGTTGAATTTTTTGTTACAAACCTTTCATGAATTCCCATTCCACAACCATCACAGTTTATAACTGATTGATATAAATTTTCATTTTGATAAGCCTTGAACGATGCTTCACCTACTTTTTTGTTTATGTTTTGTATTTTTTGTTAATGTTTTGTGTTTTCTTATGTTTCTTTGTGTTTTTCCGGAAACTTGTTTTTATTTTCCGGAATGTTTTTCTGATTTTTATTTCCAACATGTTTTATATTATGTTTTCCGGAATGTTTTGTATTTTTATGTTTTCCGTAATGTTTTTAGTTTGTTCTGATTTTTTGTATGTATTTTTTCTAATGTTTTGTGTTTTCCTATTTTCCTTAATGTTTTTCCGGAAACTTATTTTTGTTTTCCTGAATGTTTTTCTGATTTTGTTATTTTCAGAATGTTTTGTAATTTTGTGTTTTCCGGAAATTTGTATTTGTTTTACAGTTTGTTTTAATGTTTTTACCATTATCTATGTTTTCCCTAAATATTTCGTTTGTTTCCTCAAGTTGTTTTACAAAAAATGTTGTTGTTGTTGATGTGAATGTTTGGCAATTTAAATTAGGAGACTGTAGCCTTATCACAAAAGGAATTTTATCATTGTTGTTTAAACTTTGACTAGAAATTGAGAAATCTAAATTTTCTGGGGAAGAAAAGTTATGTTCATGTTTAGAGGTTGATGTTTTGTTATTAGATGAGATCTGAAATTGAGAAAAACAATGTTTTGTAATGTTTTCCTCTAAAAATGTTTTCCGGAAATTTTTAATGTTTGTTTTGTTTAGGAAAGTTTGTTTTGTTTCCTCTTTAAATGTTTTTAAGGTTTATTAGTACTAATGTTTTATTAGAAATGTTTTTCCGGAAAGTTTATGTTTGTTTCTTTCAAATGTTTTTCCGGAAAGTTTATGTTTGTTTCTTTCAAATGTTTTTCCGGAAAAAGTTTAATGTTTGTTTCTTTAAAATGTTTTTCCGGAAAAGTTTAATGTTTTGTTTCTTGCAGGTCTTTCCGGAAAGTTTAATGTTTATTACACCACAAACTTAAGTTATTTTAATTTTACCTGCATGTTTTGTTCATTTTCTGAGTTTGTAATTCCATTAATGTTGTTGTTTTGTTCATTGTTTTGTAAAGCGAAAAATGTTTGTTGTAATTGACCAACTTGTTCTTCCAAATTCATTAAAATATTAAGGTCATTAGAGTCTGATATTTTTTATAACAAAATAATTTTTTCATTGTCTCATATTGTCTAAATTTTTTGGCACTTTAATAACAGCAAAAAATGTTTTCTTTTTTACGTGCCTGAGGGTTTTTTAAAGTTTTTGTTTCTAAAAAATAAGGAAAAATGAATTTTAGAGCCTTTACCTCCTCTGCTCTATTTTTTAAAAATACACCAGAAAGAGTTACACTATTCAATAATTATAAGGATTAAACTCACCCAAGTCTCGAAGGCTTGGGGCGGTCTTTTGTTTTTATAAAAATAAATTTCCGGCTAAATAATATCCCTTTTTTCTTCCTTTTTTACCCTTTTCGCGCGTTTTTCATTTTCTTCTCTTATTGGGTGTATATATTACAGTAATAAACTAATACTTATTTGTTTGCTCTTTCAAGTCTGCCTATAAAGGAAAAGGATGTTGAGAAACACAAAGCTGATGTATTAAAACAAACAACACTAAAACATTTGCTAATTAATTTTATTCAAGTTTGCGAAAATATCTTTAAGTTTGCAAACTTGAAAATATGTTTTCCGGAAATGTTTTTGTTCAACTTGGATGTTTTATTTATGTTGTGTTTTCGGTGTGTTTATTTGTTGTGTTTTCCGGAAAACTTTGTTTTAAACAATGTTTTTAGCTTTTTCCGGAAAACATTTCTAATGAACATTATTTTGAATGTTTTCCGGAATGTTGAATGTTCGAATTTTTCAAAACATTGTTTTTAATGTTTTTCGTAAAAGATGTTTTGTAAGAATAAGATAAACGGAAATTTAATTAATTTGTTCATCCTTCGAAATATGCAAATTTAAGATGGATGCACATTCAATTGCACAACTAATCTTGCTCAATAAAATTTAAGTATTTCTTCTATATAGTATGTGTTAATCTCCAACTTGAATTTATTTTTAAATGTAATCCAAAAGGATTTTTGATAAGGTGATCTGTTGGGTTAAGCGTTTTGGAAGGTGACAATATGCCCTGAGGCAATTCACAAAAACATTTTATCATTAAAAAACAAAAATTAACAAAACAAAGAGAAGGAAGGTCTAATTACTCTAATTACTTCATTTCTTTGCCTCAAATAAATATATAGTGTTTTTGAACGCAGAAAATTCCGTAGACACCAATATTTGTGAAGCACATAACAATTAAATACCAACAATATAGAAATAAACAAAAATGTTGTTAAGGAGAATGTTATTATTGAATGATCATCTGATTAAATGGAGTAAATTAGAATTAAGACTTACGGGAATACGGGATCTCATATGAGTGTCCTCAGTTACTAGGAAATCACGACACATTTATCAGCTCATATCTTATTAAGGAGCGATTAGAGCTTATCAGTCCCGCTGAGAAAAATAATCAGTAGACCCAGAGCTTTCGATTGATACATAAATCGCTGAAATAGATGGATGTTGTACAAAGTTATGGGTAAACAATGGGCGGAAATCACGGTTTTCCGCACTTACCAGCTTATAACTTTTTATGGACTGACTGGATCCTATCATTTCCACTGGGAAATATAATCAGTAAATTCAGGTCTATCGATTGATATTTAAATCATTTAAAAATATTGAAGTTCAAAGAAGTTATGGTCCAATAAAGAGCGAAAATCACGATTTTCCGCACTTATCAGCTCATAACTTTCCTGGGAGTGATCGGATCTTATCAGTCCTTTTGGGAAAAATAATCGAAACATCCAGAGCTATCGAATGGTAGTAAACCATTAGACCCTTTATCCTTCCCCACCTTCTATCCTCCTGTATTTCCATTGGATTACAAGCCTAAGCAATGCATATCCAAGAGGGCCAGTAACTCCAAGAATAAAAGTGAAGACTAAGAGAAGAACACAAACAGAACATTCCATAATCTTTCAAAAAATTTTTTTTTAATTTATTTTAAAATTTTTCAACCTTCAAAGACAACAAAGGCCAAAGGTACTTGTAATGTTTTTCACCCCGTTTTCCTCCAAAAATTGGAATAATTGCTAGAAAAAATCCAACAAGAGACCAACCAATTTGTAAAGAAGTTGAAGCATCTATACGTCCAATATATGGAATAAAATAAATTAATTCTATTGCTAATCTGAACAAATCAGCGAATATCAAGAGGCGAACAGTGTCGGTATATAAATATCAAGAGAAAATGTTTTTAAGTTTGTTTAAATGTTTTTACAATATGTAAACGGCCAAAGCATGCTCGAAATTCCTCTCCTAGAAAATGGGGTTGTTGGGAAACATGTTTTTGTTCATGTTGTTGGGATGTTGCTCTTAAATAATTGTTGTTGTTGTTGGGAATCATTTAAATGTTGTTTTCATTATGGATAAAACAAAACAAATAAATAAACTTGTTTTACAAACTTGTTGACAATAAGGTTTGTAAATAAAAACATGTTTTAAAACATGTTCTAAGAAATAAATTTAGCAAATAAATAAACTCGTTTTAAATAAACTTGTTTTGCAGATAAAGTTTAAAATAAAAACATGTTGCAAACATATTATAAGTAAACAAACTTGTTTTTACAAATAAATAAACTTGTTTTAAAAGATGTTTAGAATAAATAAGTTGTAAAACAAGTTTTAAAACAAAATTTTGAAATGAACTTGTTTTAGAATCATAAAATTAAAATATTTTTCAAAAACATGTTCAGAATAAGTTTGTAGATATAAACTTGTTTTACAATTAACTTTAAGATTACAAACTTGAATTATTTTACTGAAAAAACAAATCCATGGATAAAGAAGATTAAATGTCTGTTTAGTTTTGGGGTTGACACATCACTCAAAGACGAGAAAAAAAAATATATTTTAGAAAATGAGAAGAGCTCTAAATAAAACAGTCAAAATTGAATGACAAATGGCGTTTTAAACTGAAGAAAAAAAACATGGAAAGGGAAGGAAAAACCTTAAAAAATAATAAACTAAACCTTTTTTTATGAAATTTTGAAAAAATATGGAGACAATAAAAAAATATTATTAATTGCTGTTGTGAATAGGAAAGAAAAGAATAAAAACAAAAAAAAATAATTAATAAGGTCTATGTTGATTGTGAGGATGTTGTTGAGGTTGTTGTCCCATTCTTTGTTGTTGTTGAGACATCATAAATTGTTGTTGTTGTTGTTGTGGATTTATTACTCCCATTTGTTGTTGTTGTGGAGGAAACTGCATATTTTGTTGTTGTTGAACTAAAATATAAAATCAGAATAAAAACAAGGAAAAATCAGAAAAACATTTACAAACAAATATAAACATTTTAAAACAAAAAGACAAACATGTCGCTTAAAAACATGTTTGTAAAACACATGGCTCAACAACATCAAGTTTTCTGGAAGTTTAAATTATTTACTTCCGGAAAACTTGGTGTTGTTTGTTTTACAAACATGTTTTTAATGTTTAAAACGTGTTTTTAAGTTTTCCGGAAATAAAACATAATTAAATTTTCTGTTTCCGGAAAACTTAGTGTTTTTTGTTTTGTTTGTTTTAATATTTGTTTTACAAACATGTTTTTAATATTTAAAACGTGTTTCTAAGTTTTCCGGAAATAAAACATAATTAAATTTTCTGTTTCCGGAAAACTTAGTGTTTTTTGTTTTGTTTGCTTTAATATTTGTTTTACAAACATGTTTTTAATATTTAAAACGTGTTTCTAAGTTTTCCGGAAATAAAACATAATTAAATTTTCTGTTTCCGGAAAACTTAGTGTTTTTTGTTTTGTTTGTTTTAATATTTGTTTTACAAACATGTTTTTAAGTTTTAAATAGAAATATATTTATTACTATGTTGTTGTTGCATTATTTGTTGTTGTTGGTGGTGTTGTT